TTACTCAAATTATTATTTCAGTCTTTCTTAATGTATCAAGCTTCTATATGCAAAGAAAAGCCAAAAACTATGGTTTTTATCATTAAATGAAGATATAGCCTAAAGATACTTTGCAGGCTTTACTGCATAACCAGGTTACATTTGCCCGGGTCCCTGGGCAGTTGCCACCTTTGCCCCCCCCCCTGTCGGGGGGCCTGACCAGAAGTATACAAAATTTAGAGTGTGTAGTGTATGAAACATACGTCAAAAATAGTCCTTAGAAGTTATTGTTGTAATAAGCACAAAGCTACAAAATGGGCTATCTGTGCTGTGCCCACTATGGGTATAAAAACCCAATTTTTAGCATTATAACTCCTCAGACTTGTCACAGAACTACCATGGGGATTCCTGGGAGTAGCATGTTCTTTTGTAGCTTGAAAGTGGGCTCTTAGTAAAAACATTTAGAGGTTTTTCTTGTAGCCTCACAGATTCAAAGAGCATAACCAATGACAATTTGAGATAATGGAAAAAAAATCATTAAGTACATTGTTTTTTAATATTAGACCCTCAGAGATACAGAAAATTGCAACATTTATTTTTAACATACAATTTCCCATAGGATCTACAGACGCTCACCATACACTAGTAAAGAAGAAGAGTGAGTCTAAGGCACACACATATAAAAACTGTAGAGAAAGGTGGGATCATGTTCCAAAGCCACCTGACTACTAACAGAAACTCTTTTGAAGAATTTAACTAGTAGTAACTTTATATATATATATATATGTAATTACTGTCAGTATAACAGTTTTTATCTATAAGGCTATACAATTTAGAAAGTTCCAAGATTAATGGCTGGAAAATGTCTCATGAAACTTTGAACAATTATTTCTTTCAGACATTAATACACAGTTCAAATAAAACTACATTTGTAAAACTTTAATGTCCTTAAAATAAAAACAAGCATTAGGATCAAACTTTCAAGTTAAAGAATGAAGTCCATGGACACACAATAAAGTTGTTTGTGACTTAAAACAGTTTCCTGGAACAGCAGTTGTTTGATTATTTTAATACTTTTTTACAATTAAATGTAAAACTAAAGAATAAATATGAAGCCAAATCTATCATTTGATTTACCACTATCACTGAGTTTTACTGGTTTCAAGGAATTCAACAGTAACCTTGTTGTACAAGAGTAGATTGAAAGATTAAAATTAGGCTTCATATAGTGGTGGAGTATGAATTATATGTACGGTGTTTTGAAATGTAAAACTGGTCACCCCTAATTATATATAATCTATTATTATGGATGGGCAAGGTTTTATGTAGACAGCAAACTAAAACCAAAGATTAACAGTAATATGTGTATTGCGGACTATAAAGTAACATCTGTGGATAAGAATAGGCTAACTATCCTAGACACAACATATGAACACTTATGGTAAATACACTTCAAGCAATCATACATTATAATGTTGTTTGTTTAGGATAAGCATAATCTTGCAGATTAAGCAAACAACTGTAAAATAAAATGGTACTTGGAAGATAATAACACCAATATTTTGCAGTGTGGAAAATTACATTTATTCCTTTAAACTATAAAAGTCAAACTACTAATATAATTACTTGATACTAAATTTCAATGAACATAAAATGTGGTAGAAAAGTATAAAGCAAATGAGTCGGCCTTAGCAGAACAGGTGACAAGCACATCTCGTGTTATACACTGGAATAATGTTAAACTAATAAGTCAGAGGAGTTGGAGTGGGAACTAAATATCAGAAAAACAATGGAAATAAAAAAGAAATCACATCTGTGCTGAACAGATGTTGGTCTAGGTTTAGAAGAAACAAAGTTCTGGACATGTGTCTTGTAAAACTATTGTGTAATTATACAAGTCAAGATCAAAATTCAATTTTTACTTCTGAAGATGATGTGCATAGAACAATGAAAAATGTAGTTTTTTTGAGAGATCTTCCCTGAATAATTTTAATAAACTATTTGGTGTATACTTATTTTAATGTTATGTATTTCTTTTAATTGAAAAGTTACTGATTTCTGAGACTAAAATAATCTTGTTTATGGCACTAAAAAGTATACAATTTAAAGAACAATTCTACACAAAAAAATATTAAAGAATTAAATAATAACTTGGCATGAAAAACCTGCTGACATTCAGGACAGGTCCTAGAGTACAGAGAGCCCGGGTACAAGAATTAATAGTGCCTCCCCCACCACCACTACAATGTACATGAAAGTATACATATTGTTGCGTCATCGAGGTCACGTGACTGGTGTGGCGCCCTCTAGTTTCTAGAACTATCTTGTTCCTTCATGAATGCTCTAGTATTTACTAGATAGGGTAGGCTGGTATATAAAAGAGGGGAATGTAATGTGTGTATAGATAGTGAGTAA